CTTTATTAATTATTTAATAAAAAATATCAGAATTAATAAATATATTCTTTGTAAATAATGAATAACTTCACTTATAATAAAATAATAGAATTACTTAATAGTATTTTAATAATATAAGCTCAATCTTTATCAAATCAAACTTATTTTTTTATAATAAATTTTATTAAGAAAAAGTATAATAATATATGTAATTAATAATAACTTTGTAAAATATTTGAGCAAACTTGATTTACAGATTACAAAGAAGATATGTCTAAATTATTAAATAATTTTTACAATTTTCATTATTCTATACATTATATAAAAATTCCAAATCTTTATGATGCTAACTGTATATTAAAAAAGATAATTATATTAATATATGAGATATTTTATATAATTAACTTAAAGATCTAAATATAAATCTAATATTAAATAAAAGATAGTGCTTTGAAAGATTGTCTCAGTAATAATCTCGCTTATCAAAAATTACAGATGAATAATAATTTTTCATTATCAGTGCAAGATCAAACAATTGAAGCTTCACTTTTGAAAGGAAAATAAATCTTTTAAAGTCATTCATCATTATGAAAAATATCGAAATTTTAATTGTTAAAAACGAAGTTATTGTCATTCCAATTGGTAAACTGATCTTATTTTGGTGGCCTTGTCATTTGATCTTTCATGACAAAAAATATCAAAGAAAAAAGGTTATTTATTGTCTCTGAAGCTGAAATTAACGCATCTCATTGGCTGATCAGTTTTTATTCTCTAATTTCATTGGTTAATAATAGATTCATTATTGATGATAGTTTCGTTATTAATTTCGTTGTTGATATTGCTTTTGTAATATTATTATTGATTTCGTTGTTGGTATCAACAACTAGGATGTGTACAATATACATATATTGAAATTTTACCGCCGCCGTTTCATGTAACTTTTGTTTATTAATGGATAAAATGTAATTTACATAATAAAAAAAACTTTTGTTAATAATAGATTCATTAATTTCGTTGTTGATATTGATTTCGGGTAATATTAATTTCGTTGTTGATATTGCTTTTTGTATATTATTGGTATTAACAAAGTCATTAAACTAGGATGTGTACAAATATACATGCATTGAAATTTTACCGCATAAATTATACGCCATTTAGATTGTACAATGATAGCTGTTTATATAACGGTTCGACTTAAATTAGATTGCTAACGATAAAAAAGGAAAAACCTTGTTTGTGTAAGTTCGCTTAATGTGATTCAGATCTGCATATTTTAGGTATTTATTTGTGTCAGTAGAAGAATTGTAAACTCAACTGTTTGATTGTTTCAAGATGTTTTTTATGTTTAGAACAAGTCGTGATGTGGTAACTGATTATGTTCTTTTAATCTTTGACTAAGAATTTTCTGAAACATTATAGTGATAAATATCTTTGATATAATTATTAGTACAAGGAACCTAAAACGTTCCGTAACATAAGAGTAATAACGGCTACGATAGTAGTACTTACGTATTTAGCATATATATTATTCTTGCTCTTTCAAGTTTGGAGTGATAAACCGGTTATTCAAATTGCAAATGAGGAATTATCTTTTATTGAAATGCCAAGTGAGTATTTTAATAGTATTTGACTTTCTTTGGTAAAAATTAAAATTATTTCCCCCCCCCCCGTTTTCTTCCAAAACAGACATAGAAATTTGTGGCTACGGAAGCGACATAGAAATTACTCGTTGTGATTTCACGAAAAAAGATTGGTCGGATATTGTTCACCCGAAATGTGCAAAAGACAATGGTGGCTCATACCTGCTTACAAAACCTGTCGTAAATCTAAGTTATTGTTATGTATTTATGGGTAACGGATCACTTTTCTTTTCGAAAGATAACAACGACAACGATAATATACTTCAGCAGATAATTGTTTATTTTAAGATTTTGAATTTGACCGGCGCTGAAAGCGCTTCATTAAGTGTTCCGACTGTGGCGGTAAGTAAAATCGCGTTTATTAGTTCATGTTTCATGATGAATATGTCTTAATTTTTATTAATTTTTATTATAGGTTCAACTATTAGATCCATCTTTTGATCCACTTACCGGTAAAGTTCGTGATAGTGACATGGTAATTTATTTAATATTTTTCTATTGTCGTTTTATTTCATATTAAATTTAGATTTAACAACGAAACTTACATTATTATCTCAGGGGAAAGATGTTGAAGATAATCTTCGACTTCAGTTAAACAATTTCGCAGGAATTCAAAACTTTTCAACATCAGTAAGAATCATTTATTCTTTATTTTAAGTTATAAATATAATTAAATAACATTTGATACAGGTTAAAATGACAAAATCGGTATATCGTGAAATTCCACCGCGAGACGTCAACAGTTTATTTGGCCTAAATCCGAAATACATAAATATTACGACTATAACTGCCTATGCTCAATACTATCCGTTACACAGTAATCCTAATTTCACTGCTGACACGGACACAGGATTTTTTCAAATATCAGCTGGAAGTTTTTTACAACAAGTTCAAACAGAAAAACGGTAAGGATCTTAGATAGATTATTTTTTTCTATATATCAAATTAATTTATCGCATTATATTATTACAGAGTAAGAAATTTGTTTAGCGCTCTTGGAGTTGCAGGCGGTGGTTTCAGTAAGTATTGAAATCCACCTGTGTTTTGTGAGATACTCATATAATTAAAAATGCATAAATAATTTTCTAGGTGCTATTTGTGTCATATATATCGTGTTGTTTGGTGATAGGAAAACAAGACCATGGTATGTTTGTTATATCTTTATAAACGGTAAACGAAAACTACTGAACCTTTTTCAATGGTACAATGATAGGGGTTTAATGCACTACATAGTAAGATCAGAAGTAGAACAATTTGGTCATATGGATAATATTCCACTTCTCCCCCAAGAAGACGGCAAAACAACCCTGACTTCTGAAGAAAGACTTGCACGGATGGAGGATCGTTTCAAAGTACTAGAAGAGATATTAGGAGACTATTTTTTTGATATTGCACCGTTGAAAAGTTTTAAACAAAGACATTCAAAGTAATAATGTATAAAGAAATAATTATTGTATTATTGTACTATTATTCGTATATAGAAATCCATTTTGTCTACTGTTCTCGTTTGTCGGTTTAAAAAAAGGTGAGTTAACCAGACAAAGTGAACAAGTTTCAATTTAGACGCCCACACATCTTTTCACTAATTGGATGTATTATGTCATGTACATGTGATCATAACAAAATTCATGGTTTTTTGAACTTAAACTTTTTTGTAAGTATGAAATTATTAACTGTATGTAGTAACGTTATTTATTTGAATTACATCTTTGTTTGCGCCTTTTTTGCAAAAGTAAATAAAGTGGATTATATTCTTAAATGTTATTTTTATGTTTTTTAAAATAAAAAATTCACGTACATGTATTATATGCCTTTTTTTAACATATAGATGTACAGTGGCGCGCAAAAGTAATGCATCACAAACGAATCAGGGAATTTTTAGCAATAAAGACACTACAGGGTAAATGAAATTTAGCCCATATATAGTTAAAAGCATAAATAAATAGTACATGCAAATATAACACCACTTTGCTTAACTTGGACTTTATTACGCCAAACTGATGATTCATTTCTTTTGAATTTACTCTTTTTTATCTTCTATAATTAAAATTATTATGGCACATATTCCTATCAAAAAAAGATACCAAATTTATATCCTTTTTAAAGAAGGATATTCTTTCCATTATATTACAAATCATGAAAATATTTTTCCAATCCTCTATTAAAAGAATATCTTTAAAGATTTACCAAAACCAGGTCATTCAAGAATTTTACTGGATGTAATAAATGAAATATTATACATTTAATTTCAAATGATAGTTTTCCACTGCAATATTAATCCAAAAAAAAAATTAAAAACTGATGATAAAATTGATGTTAGCACAAGCACAATAAAGCAAACTTTATATCATAATGATTTTTCTTCACAAATTAAGCAAAAAAAATCATATCTCAAAAAAATATTGTTATTGGATTATTAATAATTAAAGCAAAGTTATCTGGTCAGATGAATCAAAATTTATGATTTTTAATCCAGATAGATATAGAAATATGATAATAAATCTTTGAAAGAGCATCATGTGAAATCTATAGTAAAATTTAAGAATGAAAATATAATAATTTGGAATTACTTTAGATTTTTCGACATTAGTAATATTATATATATTTATAGTCATATAAATAAGAATTTATATTATGAAAGCTTAAATAATAATCTTTTAGAGATAATTCAGTAATATAAAATTAATAAAAATGATATTATCTTTCAATAAGATAATGATCTGAAATATATAATAAAATCTATATATAAATAGTTTGATAATAATAATATTTATTTACTTAATTAATTTATCTAATTACTGGATCTTAATTCAATTAAGTATTTCTAGAATGAAATAGATTATTATTTGAGAAAATTATCAATTAGTATTCATACTTAAAATTAATTTTGGAATGTAATAAAAAAAATTTGAATTGAAATTGATAATATATTTTTAATAAAGCTAATTAAAAGTATGAAAAAATATATTCAAGATGTAATTAATATAAAGAATAGTTATATTAGATAATAATAAAAATTAGAAGTTAAATTTTTATAAATTTATTTAGTTTATTAAGTAATTTTATTTTTATTTTTATTTATCAAAATGATTAAAAGAAATAGATTATCTAATTTAATATAAAATATAATTTATTTTTTCTAAATATATAATATAAAAAATAAATATAATTCAATATTTTATTTATATATAAATATTAAAATAAATCTATTTATATATTAATTAATATTATATATAAAATATTATTAAATTATGAAATTTATCATTTGGATAATAAAATATTTCTAAATATTATTATATATATCTAGTTATTATAGAAAATAATATTTAATTTTTTTAAAAAATAAAATATTAAATTTATTTTATTTCTATTTTATAAATATAAAAATATTTTTTTATTATTAACTAATATAATTAATTATAAAAATATCTAATTTTTTTTAATTTTTTATAAATTATATATAATACATTAAATTTTTTTAAGTATAAAGAATATTACAAATATTGATTATAATATCTTTTATAAATTAATAGAGCTTTATTTAATCTAAATAAAATTAAATAATAATATTTTTACTCAAATTAAATTACTAAATATCAAGATAAAGTGAATAATTTATATTTATCAATCAATTTTTTATTAGAAATTAATTATCAAAAAAATAAATCAGTTAATTTAGAATATAATATCTTAATTTCTAATAATTTAATTTAAATAAAAATAATATTATTTAATTTATTTAGTTAAGATGAATTAAATAGTATTATTTTTGTTTGAATTAGATTACTAAAATCAAGATATTATATTTTAAATTAATCAATTCATTTTGATTAATATTAAAAAAATAAATTTAATACTTTAAGATATAATAATTTAATATTTAATAATTTAATTTAAATAAAAATAATATTATTTAATTTGTTTTAACTAAATAAATTAAATAGTTATATTTTTATTTAAATTAGATTACTAAATATTAAAAATTAAATTATTAGATATTGAGATATATATTATAAAATAATTATATTTGAAATATAAAAATTTATAAATATATAATATCTAATATAAAAGTTTTATTAATTTATAAAAAATATTATAATTAGTATTTATAATATTCTTTGTATTTAGAAAAATTTAATGTATTATTACTATAGTAGTATAAAGATCCTTAATTTCTTAATCTTTTCACAGTTATACAAAATCATATTTTTTTATAATTTTTATTTATTTCATAATTATTTTTATTTTTATGTTATATAATTATTTCTTATTACTATATTTATTATTATACTTTTATATTTAGATATTATATTTTATTTATATTTGAGATCTATATTTTTATATTACTTATAATATAATACTCATATATATAGTAGAATAGTATAGTGGAAGATTATTTTTAATTTTGATAGAATGATTATATGTCAATTACAGATAATTTTCTATAACTTCTGATAATTTTTCATAATTTCTTATGACTTCTGATAACTTTTCATAACTTTTCATAACTTCTGATAACTTTTTATATCTTTTTACATACTCTAATGATCTTTTACATCTTTTAATAATTTTTAATATCTTTTGATATATACATTTCTAAAATTTATACTATAGTATTTTAAATTATAATATATATATTAGATAGTATTAGCTAATAATACTATAATAATTTTTATATTCAAAAAAGTATAAAAGAACCTGCTATTCCAGCTAAAATAAATAGATTTGTTTGGAAAGTATGTATTATATTAGTATTCTTTTATAGTTTTATTTGAATTATTTGAAAAATATAATTTGGTTATACTAATACTCTATCTTGTACTTGGTTTTATTTCTTTAACCATACAAAGTTGATTTTTGATTTTTAATTTTGGATTATAATATTATATTGATTTTTGATATTATTTTTGAGAGTGGAAGATCTCTACTATAAATAAGTCACATCTCCTTTTTAGTTATTTAGTTTTCATATTTTAGTTTTCTTTATCTCTTTATCTTTAATAATAATCTTCTTTAATTGATAGTGATTTTACTATTCAATTATCTTTAAGTTTTGAATTATATTGATCATTAGTAACTTCACTAAACAATCTTTATAATTTTCTTGATTTATATTTCACTTCTTTTATTTAATTACTCTTTATTAATACAATATCTGTAGATATTGACACAGATCTTAAAAATCTTTTCATTATTAAAAGTTATAGTTTAATTCTCCTTTTGTTACTCTTTAATTATTTTAGTTTCTTCTAATCCAATATTATTAAGATGAATTCAAGTGATAACTCACTTACTAATTTACTATAACAGTATTATATATGATCTATAAAAGAATTAAATATTTTTATAAAGTATTATATATTATTAACTCTTTATATAATTCTAATCTTATTTTGATTTTTTAAGATATTAAGCCTATAATTTTCTAAAAAATTAATATATTAAATTTTTTTTAGAATAGTCTTAAGCTTTTTTGTAATTCTTAAAAAGCTTATATACTTTAAAATATTATTTTTTAATAATTTAAAGATTATTTTATAAAGTTTAAGTTATAAGAAAATAATATTCTTTAATTTTTCTTTTTAATTTTATTCATAACTTCTTTTTATAATATAAATCAAGTTTTATTTTATGAAGCTTTTATATAAATTTTTTATTATAAATTACTTGAGATATCTTTTTTTATTTCTTGTGTAAATATATTTTTTTCTTGATTTTTAAAAGTTTATAATCTTTTAAATAGTAATAAATTGTTAATTTTTTTATCTTTTTTGTACTTGGCAAGAGATTATTATATTATTATTAGATTATAATATATTTTTCTTAGTAAAAAGAATATAATATTCAAAAAAAATAAAACTTAATCTATATTAAAGAAAAAAATAAAATAAATTCAAATAAAATAAATTAATATCAAATAAGCTATAATAAATAAATTATATTATAAAAGAAATTAAATTGTAATAATTTTAATTAAATTATCTCATTTTAGTTCAAATCTTTATTTTGTGCTATCTGTATAATAAATTAGCTTTTATATATTTTTCTTAAAGATCAATTTCATTCTGAATACATAAATAATTATTTATATATTTAATATATTAGATTTAATATATTATTATATAAATGATTACTATATATACTGTTACCATAATAATATAAAATTTCTTAATTCCTTAATCTTTTTCTAGTTATGAAAAATTATATTTTATTATAATTTTATTTATTTTATA